AAATTATACCTTGGTAGATTATTTTTCAAAAAAGTCAGGGAAGCACAAATTAAAACCACAAGATACTATTATCCTTCCACAAGGATAGCTAAGATGAAAAAAAGGCAGATCATGGCAGGTATTGGTGAAGATGCAGAGCTACCAGAACTGTTAGTTATGATTGATTGGAATGTTGATTGGTATAGCCATTTAAAATACTGTTTGGCATCTATGACCGCTGACTCTTGATGTTCATGCCATTGTGTAATCCTTTCCCCTTGAAAGTGAGTACTGACCTATGGCTTGACTTTAATAAACAGAATATGGCAGAGAGGTCACCATTGTGAGATTATGTAACATTATATTAGGCACTGTCTTGTTAACAGACTTGCTGTAGAGACTCCTTATTGGATTGATGAAGTAAGTGGCCATTTTGGGGAAGCCCACATGGCAAAGAAGAAGGGCAGCCTGAAGAAGCTGAGAGTAGATGCTAGGAGCTGAGGAAAGCCTCTATGAACTGATGGTGGCCTCCAACTGACTACTAGCAAAAAGCTGGGCCTGCCAGATCACAACCATAGGAAATAAATTCTGCCAACAGCTTGAGTGAGCTTGGAGGTGGACTTTCCTCCAGCTGAGTCTCTACATAAGAACTACCTTGACTGATAACTTGGTTTCAGTTCAGTGAGCTCCTAAGCAGAGGAACTAGCTGAGCCTGATCCAGGGCCTTACCCACTGAAATGGTAAGATAATAAATGTGTGTGTGTGGTCATCTGTTACACAGCAATAGAAAACAAATACAGCATCCAATGTCCATTCCTGCCTTACAGTGTGTTGATGTGGATCCCGGCTCCTGGGGTCTGCAGTGTTATGGATGAGATAAGACAAACTCACACAGACTACCAAGTCCTGTGGAGGAAAAGGGATGGTGCAGCTTCTCTCTCAAGAGGAAAGCAAGCCTTGGAATGCCTCAGCCATTCTCTCAAGGGGAGAGCCTTGCCTTGATAGGCTTTTATTGAGTTCAATTTGCACAGGAATACAGGGTATATAAGTAAAGCTCATCAATCATGATCAGGCAGAAGTGATTAAACAATAGATAGCATTCAAAGAACTCTGAGGGCTTATTCTGAGTCAAGGTCAGATAGTTAAAGGGCCATAAAACTTTGGGGAATAAATTCACTTCTTGCTTGGACCCTTATCATTTAAATTGAGGGTATTAGCAAAGTAGGTTTCATAGGATTTTATGCATTCTTTCTTAGGTCTGATCACCCTGGGGAACCCGCCTTTTCCAGCACAGGGCCACACCCACCTCCAGCATTGTTTCAGGCTTAAGTCAGGCAGGGGAAATAAGGCAGCCAAGAGATCAGGAGACTTCTTGCAGATAGAATGAGGACTCAGGCTATGTCAAAGCCAAGGGGCGAGGGTCCATCATCCTCTTTTACTATACCCCCCAAGTCCTTCCTTGAGAGCCCCTTCATGGCCGTGCCTGTCTTAGGTCATCCCTCTTTTAAGGAATCTTACCCGTCATTGGCTAACCAGTTATCCACCAGGGGCCAAGCAGGGCAAAGAGAAAGGGGGAAGAGGTGGTGCCCCTGCAAGGAAGATAAGCTTTGTCTCCTAAGTGGCTTATGGTCCCAAGGTCCTTTACTCAGCCTTAGCCACAGGGGATTGCAGCTTCTGAAACCAGGCAGGGTAGTTCCCAACAGTGCATCTTCCTTGCAACATAGGCTGTCCTTATAACATGGGCTAATCAGATGCATACTTGAGAGACTTGAATGACAGAAGGGAGGTGGAGGCTATGCTTCTGCTATCTCTCCTGGTAAACATGGTTGTGAAGGTGTTTTGTTGTTTTATTGCAATTTAGTCACTAGCTTGTGGGTACTGAGAGGTTTGGTATTTATTTTGCTGGTATAAATCAAAGCAGGTGGAGCATGGTTCTGGAGATAGCAGCTGTAGTGTTGGCTTTTCATCATGGCCTGGTTCTATGGAATAGCTTTGGAAGTTGTTCTTGAAAGCTCAACTTGGAGTCAGTTCTCTTGAAATTGCTGTAAGCCACTTAATGTCTGGTAAGAAATCTTTTCCTGACTAAACTAGTTATTAGAAGGAGTTCTGTTCCCTGAAACTGAAAGTTAACTAATATAGGAAGGAAGTCCTCAAGTGATAACTGAGTTTTGTGTAAATAAAAATGCATCACAACAAATAACATAGCAATATCTTTAAGTAAATCATTTTCATGTTTTTTTACAATAGATTTATAATATTTACTTTTATAAAGACAAGTAAGGCCACTTTGTAACATATTCAATGTATAAGATATATGCACTGGTTCAGTTTGACACAGCTACATGAGATTTTTAATACTAAGAGAAACCTATTGCTTAACAAGTAGCAACTATAAACTATGTGTTTAGTTTATTTCTCCTACAAACTCAGAAAAATGTGGGTTTTTTTTACTTGCATGTAGAGTCTTTTTGTAACTCAAAAATCTCTTTTTAAGTATTGGATTTTAATTAATTTTGAGCTACAATATAATACTAAGGTAATCAATATTATGACTTTAAAATATCAAATATTAATAGTATATGCTCTTAAGAAAGTATCTTTTTTGGGGAATACAATTGACAAAATATTCAACAAAATATGTGCAATTGTGCCTTTGTATATAAGCATAGAACCTTGTGTCTTTCTACAGCTACTAAAGTCTAATTTATCAATCATTACATAATAGCAAATGTGTGGTAGTTTATATATAAACTTAACTTTAAAATGTAGACATGTTTCAGCAAATCATTTCTGAGAAATGGCATAGATGCTATTTATCAACTGTCTGTTTAAATAGTAATTTCCTTGAAAAGACAGGGTTGAGCAAATTATTTAAAAGACATTTTAGTGTTTGGCCATGTCCAAATTATTAAATTTTCAGTGTATACTTAAAAACTTTTGAGTCTTTCTGAAAATAATATATTCTATGATAACCAAGCTCCCTGTGTTAGGCCTTGTTCACAGAAGATTTTCACCAAAGGCTGACTATACCAATTTCTTTCATAAAGAGAGACTTCTTGGGTCACTCTAAGGGATGTCTACCCTTTCACTGTTTCACATGTGAAAAGTCAAAGGGCTTAAAATCAGTCTTTTTTGAAGAAAGCTCAAAGGATTATTTCTCCCCACAGTTCTAAAGTCAATTGATTAATAAATTGCTCCTATCAGAAGTGTAGTTAGCTTATTTTGTTCTTTAAAGTAGTAATGAAGCCCATTATTTTTACATGAACTTTCATTGTAATGACTGATATATAAGCAGCATAAAGTATATAGAAATTATACATATAAATCAGAGAGTCAACACTTTATAGATGGATACTAGCAATTCTAAACACTTCCTTAACAATCATCACACACAATTATACTTTATGAACTTTCCAGACTACTACAATGATTCAGTCTATCTAATGTAACTTAAAACATGACTGGTAAAAATCCAAAATCTAAAGGTAGAACAAAAACAGTCACACTCTATTCTGAGACAAATGCCACAACCTGCAGTGCACAGAATAATTTCAAGAAATTTGTCAGTTTAATGAGAAACCAATACAGTTCATTGAACTGTTTTTAACCCTTCTGAAAAGGCTGGCTTTATCCAGTTTAAATCCAAATCCAATATTGTTTTTCCTTATACTAGCCCAGAGTTTTGAGTTCTTGATTTATTTTTATCAATAACAAAGTTACAAGTTAGTCAGTAGCTTCTGAAGTGCTCAGGTAGAGAGAATTCAGAAGATAATCAACAAAATAAAACAGCAAGCAAAATATAACCAGAGACATTGAAATTAAGAACAATCTAGCCCTGGCTGGAGTAGCTCAGTGGATTGAGCACGGGCTGCGAACCAAAGTGTCGCAGGTTCGATTCCCAGTCAGGGTACATGCCTGGGTTGCAGGCCATGACACCCAGCAACCGCACATTGATATTTCTCTATCTCCCTGCCTTCCCTCTCTAAAAATAAAATAAAAATAAATAAAATCTTTAAAAAAAAGAAATTAAGAACAATCTAACAATAGCCAGAGGGGTGGGGGAAGGGGACAATGGGAGGAAGGGTATTCAGGAACAACTATAAAGGACACATGGACAAAACCAAGGGGGAGGGTGGAAGCAAGGGATGGAGGAGGGTTTGGAGGGGATGGAGGGGGGGTGGGGAGAAAATACAGACAACTATAATTGAACAACAATAAAGTAATTTTTAAGAGTTTATTATTAAAAGACTAGATGAGATTAACTTTTAAAAGTTAACATTATTTCAGTTTGATAACTTGAAAATGAGCCCCTCCATATGGTAATCTTATAGATAATTAAGGTTATAAATCTAAGAGCTTTGTTTTCTAAAGCATTCTAATAGGACTGCAGTACTTTGGGAAGTAGGATTTTTCAGTATGGCATATTATCATCACTAATACTCAAACATAATACCACATTTATAACATTATCAGTAATTTATATGTAAACAGCAGCACAAACTAGTGATTTCCTTACCAAAAGTGATATGTTGGTGTCCTCTGATGGTATCATTTAGTATACTCCCTTGATGTTGCATATCTTGTAAAGGTGAAGGGATTGTACAAACTGGCAGTTACAAAACAGTCATTGGGATGTAAAATGCAGCACTGGGAATACAGTCAATAATGTTTATAATAACTGTGTATGGTACCAGGTGGGTACTGAAATATCAGGGGGAACACATTGTAAAGTATATGATTGTCTAACCACTATGCTGTATACCTGAAACTAATACAAAATAATAATGAATGTAAATTATAATTGAAAAATAAAAATTTAAAAAGTACATTTGTATTAGAGAATATCAAAATTAAAGATAACCACAAAGGAATGATTCATTGTGCTTCCAAATGTCTTTTTTAAGCCTTTGAACACATTGGTAACATGATAAATACCTAATTTCTACTCCCAGGAATCAAGCTGAGAACTACAGGAATCTTAGTAAATTTGTTTGATAGGCAATTCCTGTTCAGAGATTTACATCTTCTAAAACTTAACTGAGAGGCTTTTGCATTTTCTAGTTTGGCTTTTACATCTGTGGGTTTCTCAAAAAAACTCACCACTGCTGGTTCATTCAACAAAGAAGCAAGAATCTATTCAAATGCAAATGACCACTAAGGCTCTTCCCTGAGCCTTAGAGGAGGGATCTTTCTCCAAGGACCTCCCTGTTTTCCCCTCACTCTGTCCTCCAGAAGTACAAGAGAATCCTTTGGCTGATGATGCGGGGCTGTGAAGTATTCTAATTTCTTTCATTCTGAGCAAAAGGCTGGTTACAACTCTTCTTCAGGGTCCCCATGAAATAAGTTATAAAGGGTCTTTGAAAACTGAATAAATTGTTACTAGAAGACACAAGTTAGAAATACCACATCTGATATTAGATTTAGCAAATATAAAGAGAACTTAGAATTGAAGTCACCTCTAGAATTTGTACCATATAACCTTCACCACAGGAGTTACAAGAACTGATAATTAATTCCCAAATAAATCTTGGTTCTAGATAGATGGATATTGACTATGGAAGAGAATTCCATTTAAGTTATCTAATTTGTTGCCCAATTAGCAGTATATTATATATACAATAATTTCTGGCCAGTTTATCTGCCAGCACTCCAGCACTCTCTCAATGTTAGCTGGTACTTCTTTTGTCTTTTCTTCTTATCTATCTATTGATCTATCTATCATCATTTATCTATCAATCATCATCTATCTAATTTTCAGAGAGAGGGGTAGGGAGGAAAAGAGAAAGAGAGGGAGAGAAACATCAATTGCTTGCCTCTCCTATATGTCCCTAACAGGGGACTGAACCTGAAACCCAAAGATGTGTCCTGACCAGTAATCAAGCCAGAAACCTTTCACTCTTAGGGATAACATGCAACCAACTGAGCCAGCCATGCTGGTCAGGGCTTAGCTAGTACTTCTAATTAGGCAAAGACTCATATTTACCTACTTGTAAATCATTCATTCATTAATCAATCTTAATAAAAGGATTAAGGTGAGATTCCCTTGATCTCCCCAAATGGCAAGAGAGAGCAGTTCAACTAGAATGGCTTAAATTAGGGAAGAATGTTTTGGGACCTACCTAGTAGTACAAGGTTATAACAGGGTACAGCCAAGAAGGGGCACCCCAAATGGGCATTTGAAATGGGGTCCATAACTCAAGGTGTCCAGGAGATTTTAGGATGTCCTCACCCCCACCCCCCAGGTGTGGGTTGGGGAAGGGACAAATGGAGCAGGGCCATTGAGAGCTGTTTCGAATAGCAACAGCCTTGCAGCTACCCTCTGGTGTGGTCATTTTAATATATCTATAACCTTTGACTGGTTACATAGATATTTTAAATAGCTGTGGCTCTGAGCCAGGGTAATGGAAGTAACTTCCCCACCAAGATGTTACTGGGGGGTAGGTCCCCTGAGTTACAGCACCTGCATGGGAGCTTGGAGATGATTGGCTCCATGACATGGGGCCACGCCTGCCCAGACTCATGACGGCAGTCCAGTAAAGCTGGAAGGATATGAGTTCTGGCATGTGAGGCCGATTGTAGGAGGAGTCGGAAATGGGACTGCAGAGGAAGATTGGCATGGAGATTTAAACCCAGGCACGGCAGCCATTGAGGAGAGAGAAGCACACAGCTTTGGCTGAGTGGGGACTCCCGTGGCCCTGGGAGAGAGGACCATGTGCCTTTGCCAGAGTGGGGACCTCCACAGCTTTAGAAGGGGGAAACACCACCCAGCCTTAGCAGAGATCCCAGCAACACAGCTGAAGGTGCCGGGAACCCAGGGAGGTCTCCCAGTCAACACGGATTACTGGGAAGAACCAGGGACTGCCTGAGCCATAGACTTCTATTTCCTTTCCTGAGATATGGTACCCCAGACTGGGCAAAGGGGGAAGGAAGGACTGTGTGTGTTTGTAGGTGTTTTAAGGGACTTTGGAATTTTGATGAAGACATTAGGTCACTACTTTAAGTCTGTATAGCATTAAATAAACACTTCCTTTCCTTTTCATGAATCTCTGGCATTGAGACATCTTTCCTATAGGCGGTGGATATAACAGACCTGGGGGTTCCTTTCAGCAATAGTATATCGTCCCAGGCCCCCCTTGTTGCTGTGTTACAAGGTAACTATGGAGTCCATTTGGACATGTTTCTCTTTAAAGGCAGATGTGGGGCCCAGGTGGAGAAATCAACTGGTTTCTTTGCTAATTGTCCCTAGATCATCCATACATTCTTAGAAGCTATCTATCAATTAAAAAACAAAAGATTCCAACACAAGAATCCTATAAGTCAATCCTACCATAAAAGTTTATCTGTAAATAAAAAGCAAATATAAAGGATGTACTTCATAAAAATATATTGCACCAAACTTTTAAGTTCCATTTCTCTTTTTTCCTTTGTCTCTAGCACTGATCTTAAAACATTTAGAATAAGTTCATCCTATTGATTCATTTTTAAAAAGTAGTTATTCAACCATCAAATTACCTACTGCACTGAGAAATACTAAGCTATTTGATAATTCTCATTTTGGTAAAATTCTGAGAATCCTATGTATCAACACTAACAGATTTTAATTTAAAAATATGATAACATATACTGACTAAATACTGTGAATGGGAGAGATGGATTTAATATTATGTCAATACGAATCATCAAGCAGGTTCAAATACAAAATGATTAGGAACCAGGGTATGACTTAGTAATTTCTTATTCATAGTACCTAGCATGGGGTATGTCATTTAGTAGGCACTAAAATATGCTTAGTAAAATAGATACAATTTTCTAATAAAGCTGGAAATACAAAGCACTGAAAAATGTTATACATATTCATCTTTTCTATAGGTACAAATGTCATATCACAGGAACTACACTGAAACACTAGATGCATTTAAGTGTTAAAAGTAACTTGATTCCATTCTTCTGTGCTCATCTGATATTTACAGAGATGCTACTCATATTATTTAACTGTTTTTGTAATAACATGTTAGCTATTTTGGATTTGGATATACCTACATTCATAAAAATAACAATAAAAACCTAGAAATTTTTCTTTAAAAATACTATCCCTGATTCATTCTTGGTAAATCCTTAATGTTTTCTTCTTTTATGAAAGCTCATCTTGCCATTGACTCAGATGTTCTTGAATATCAGCTTTTCCTTTGCCTGAATGAGAATAAAACCATTTCATAATAAACAGCCCACTATATTTTCCCAAATCTCAAAAAAATATTATTGAAAGGTATTTCACCAAGATATAAGATTCCACCCTTTTTTTAATCCAGGAAATGGGACTGAATTTACCTTTTACTTTACCTACTGGCTCTTAGGGTACTTACCCATTTCTATTAAAGTAAAACTTTTACTTTGGGAAGGTTGGAGACTATGGAGGATATGAAGCAAGACTGACAAAGATGCATTTTCTTTTTTTAAATTTTGATTTATTGATTTTAGAGAGGTGGGGGAGAGAGAGAAAGACAGACAGACATCGATTTGTTGTTCCACTTATACAATCATTGGTTGATTCTTGTATGTGCCCTGACTGGGGATCAAACCTGCAACCTTGGTGTATTGGGATGATGCTCTAACCAACTAAGCTACCTGATCAGGGCTGAGAAGGATGCATTTTATATGAAACAGTGCACCCTGGCTTGATGATGTAAATTTCACATAGACATTTTCATGTATTTCATTAAAATAGCTTCTATATGATGTTCTTAATATGCAAATATTAAGTGGTCTATGGCCGCTCATTTTGAAAAATTCAAAACAAAATTTATTCATTCATTTCATTGAAGAACTTAATTAAGATGATATTAATGTGGCTTTATTAATTACTGTGTACAATTCCTTAGAAAATTAGGTGGCTATACTGAAGAATCTGAGGGAGCTGTCATAAATAAACAGTTCTTCAGCAATTAATTATTTTTAACTGTTACTCAAAAGAGAGAATGATGGACTTTTGGAGAGCAATTCGACAGCCTCCATCAAAATATTAAATGTGCATATTATTTGTGACCTAACATTCTCATACCAGTATGAGTTTACTCTAACCTAAAGTAATATGTGTAAAACGTTTGTTAAAATGTAAGTATAAAATGTTTGTTGCAGCAGAATTTGAAATATGATTCATTAGAAACAAACTAAATATCCATCTGTATTGGGCCAGTTATTAAAACAAATTATGGTACAGAGATCCAAGATAGTGGTAGAGTAGGTGGGAGTTAAACTCACCTCCTCCCAAGGCTGAACTAGAGTAACAATTAAAAATTATAGAACAATCAACCTATATTACCAATTGAAGACTATCTGCACATAAGTCTTATAAAGGATTTACAGAAGAATATATATCAAGACTAGAAGTAAGGGCAGAGATGCAAAAAGGACTGGCCCCACACCCTTGTGTAGGGGCTCAGAATCCAGAGGGATATCTCAGGTGCAAAGATCCCTCCTTATGACAATGGGTCTCAGTGCCATTCAGGGTTCCCCATCCCAGAGCACCAGAGCTTAGAAGAAGAGGCAAATAATATCTGGCTGTGAATATCAGCTGGGATTCTGTCCTCCAGGGAAAGACAAGACTAGTCTAGAAACACAGGCACACTCTTAAAGGGCCAGTGCACAAAATCTTATTTCCAGCCACTAACCCTGGGCTCTGGTGGTAGGAGGGCAGAGTGAATTAGAGTTGTATGAGGACAGACTGTGGTTTTGTGGTTCAGGGGAGAGAGCTGAAGGGAAAGCTGCTGGAGTTCCTGTGTTGAGTCCCTCTCCCACATCACAAACACTACCTTTCCAGGGTGGAGCACTCCCTTCCTTACAGTATCAGCCTGGGGGAATAAAGTGATCCCACCCTCTGGGCTCCCTATCACCCCACCCCACAGAGTTCAAACCCTGTGGAGAAATCAGCTGTCTTGGCCTGAGATGTAGAAGTCCAGGCAAACTCAGGATGTTCCAGAGACTGAGTTATGTGGCTCTAGGGAAGAGCCACCACCTTCCCTAGAGCCTAACTGGCACCACACTTCCCCATGGGAAATTTACAACACCACCCTCCTTACCATTCAGCAGTCCTGCTCTGCCAAGCTCTGGCTCTCCAAGAGTTCAGGGCAGAATCTAGGAGACACTGAGTTGTGTGCCTCTAGAAAGGTGGCCATTTTTCCTCACATACTCTACCATTGCAGAACCCTCCCTTCACATGGCCAAAACTTGATCTTCTTGGGCCCAATAAAGTCTGCTGGCCTTGCCCAAACAACTCTGAGACTCTGCCCCACCACAAAAGTCTGTGGGCTCCTGGCAGTTGGCCTCGGTGTACCCTTGGACTTTTACCAAGTGGCCTCAGACCCAAAACTAGAAGAATTTGAATCTGTTCCAACCTGGTGAATACCTGAGAACCTGCCTCATTCAACTGGCATACCACTGTACCACCAAAGGTTCTTTCAGTGACTGAGCTTAACAATCAGTCAACAAGCAAAGGTGGAACTCAGGGTGTCCTGGGCCTTTTGCTGACCTGCTACAGACCTTGGTGCCAGTAGAAATTGGCTGTGGTGCACAGGTTGACCCCTCTATTGCATACTCAGACCCAGCAGAGATGGCCAAAAAATGTACATCACTTTGTAGCTCCAATCAGATAGCCCAGGGCCAGTCATGAGTGCCTGACATTGACCTGCACTAGAGTCCCTTGGAAGAGGCCCTAGAACCAACATTCCATGTGTTGGGATTCAGACCACATTGGAGAACAACCCAATTACCTCCACAAATGACACAGGCACCAGACTGCTGGGTTGAATTCCATGTTGTGGGATCAATTCCCCATAGAAGCTCATACACTGAGGTCAGGGTTGATCCTCATACCCAGCCAGACTGAGAGTCCATCTGACCAACAGGTGAGCAGATAGCAATTAAGACTCGACTACAACAGGAGGGCTCACATATTACATATATGGGATATTCCTAGAGCACCCAGCTCAGGTGATCTTGGTGATACCACCACTAAGCCCCACAAGACACCTATTAATTACATAAGGGTGCTGTACCAAGACAGAGACACAGCAGATATACCTGATATATAGAAACAATCCTAGAGAGGCAGGCAGCCAAAATGGAGAGACAAAGAAACATGCCCCAAATGAAAGAACAGGGAAAATCCCAAGAAAAAGAAGGCAAGCTATCTACCAGATATAGAGTTCAAACAATGGTTATAAAGATGCTCAATGAACTTATGCAAAGAATAGGTGAACTTGGTGAGAACTGAAAGAGAAAACAAACATTAAAAAAACAAACAAACATAAGTGTCACATATAATGCCACAATGCAGTGATGTGAGTTGCCCCATCCTGTTGAATACCTAAGCTTCTTCCCACTACCACATAACAGGCACACCAAGAGAAAAATAAAATGGCCCAAATGAAAGAACAGATCAAAGCTCCAGAAAAAATACAACTAAGTGATGAAGAGATTGCCAACCTATCAGATGCATAGTTCAAAACACTGGTAATCAGGATGCTAAACATAATTGGTTGAGTATGGTTGCAAAATAGAGGAAAAAAGGAAGGCTATGAAAAGTGAAATGAAGGAAAATGTACAGGAAACCAACAACAATGGTTTGGACCAGAAGGAAGAAATAAACATTCAACCAGAACAGAATGAAGAAACAAGAATTCAAAAAAAAAAAAAAAGTGAGGAGAGGCTTAGGGACCTCTAGGACATCTTTAAACATTCCAACATCCAAATTATTGGAGGACCAGAAGGAGAATAGGAAAAGCAAGAAATTTAAAACTTATTTGAACAAATAATGAAGGAGAAGTTCCCCAATCTGGTAAAGGAAATAGACTTCCAGGAAGTCCAGGAAGCTCATAGAGTCCCAAAGAAGTTAGACTCAAGGAGGAACACACCAAGGCACACCATCATTAAATTACCCAAGATTAAAGATAAGAAAAGAATCTAAGAAAAAAGGAGACAGTTACCTACAAAGGAGTTCCCATTGTGACAGGACGTAGCTGAGCAGTAGCTATTCTTAGGTAGGAGCTGACCCGCAGCCATTCCCAGATAAGCAGTTATCTCAAGGTTGTACACTAACCCCCGTTTTAGCAGCTGCACTCCTTTCTCCTCCTCCTTCTGCCTGTGTAATAAGCATATAAAGGAAACTCCAGCTTGAGCTCATTGCTCAGAATTTGGAATTCCCCTCTGAGCCCACGCACGTAATGAAGGATCGTGCTCCACAATCTCTCCCACGTGTGAGTTATTTTCCACAATATTTTGGTTCCCTGACCGGGAAATGACTCACGTGAGCAGGCATTTTGCCTCCAGTGGAGATGACCTGGGGCTCGGCGGGGGAGCCCTGCTGCAGGGGAAGGAGCACGTGCCCCGGTTGTTTTGGGTTTCCCGGGCGGAGACTCCCATGCGGCATCCCCAACCGCTCTAAGACCCAGGCTGAAGGGGAAAGATGGACCACGAACTGTCGGAGGTGACAATTGGAATCGGTAAGTGACCCAGGGAACAGACCCAAGACCAGAGAGAAGCTGGTTACCTCTCAACCGGAAAATTCAGGAGTCTGAGCCAAGGCTCAGACCATCAGACTCCTCGGGGGAGGAAAAGTTGTAAACTCTGTGTGACTGTGTGTGTGAATGTATCTGTGACTCCACGAGCCAGCTAGGCTTACGGAGTCTGACTGGGACAGGCCAGGCGGACGTGCAAAAGATCCCCTTTTCCTTTGTTTGTCTGCACCCATCAGGAGAATTCGTCATGCAGGTGGAGGGGGTTCTGCCACAGAACTATATTGCATGTATGTTGGAGATAGGACAGCAAGCCATGTGGGTACGCCACCATTTTGGGTAAAATGGATGATGAGCCACATGAGTGCCCCACCATGGAGGGAGGAGTGTGCATGGTTGTCGTCTTCTTGGATGATGGGTCATGTGAGAGCCCCTCCATCTTGGAACTGGGCAAGGTGCCAGGCCAAGGGCTCTTTTCAGATTATAGCCTGTATGCTGCTGCTCTGTGGGCACCGCATCAGTCTGGCTCTCTGTATAACTGGTTCTGATAAGAATGGCTCTGGTTCTGAAGGACATGAACTGAGGTCCAAGGGTGAACATCTGACCTATAGGGTGTTTTCAGGGTCTGAGCTTCAGAAAATTGCAGGATGTCCCTGCAAATCTAGGGAATTTTAGTGACAG